TAAAATTTAAAGCTTTAAAAATAGCGTAGATAGAGCAAATCTATGAGCACTTGAAAACTTTGAAAATTGACAGTCTAAAAATACGTTACAAGATGCATTATTATCAAAACTCAAAATTTATTTTTTTCTTATATCCATGCATATTGATGTCAAGATGATCAATTTAAAGATATTTACGCATCAAAACAACCACTTCTAGTAAAAATTTTGGGGTGGGCTCTAATTTGATTGTTTAGAGCCTCGACTCCATATAAACTTTTCCCTTTAACCAGTTTGCAACCAATTTGCCACACCTGCATTTTATATAGAGCTGGTCTTTAGAAAAAGTGCACACATTGCAATTGTGGCATGCATTTTATATAGAGCTAGTCTTTAGAAAAAGTGCATTTTATATAGATTTAGGAAAAGAGAGTGTTTGGAGATCCTAGGTCGTCTTTTATTTGCGGCCGGACAAGCTACCACAACGCTGATTAAGTAAAACCTGCCGCTCATTTTTTATATACACATAATTTTTGTGATTTTTCGTTAAAAAAAAAAAAGAGCTCGATTCGGTCGAGGAACTTGGACTCAGTCGAGTACATCACCTTGGCCAGGGCCAAGTACCTTAACCGAGTCGATATTTTGAACCTTGGTTTGGGCTATTGGCTAGGAGCCTAAGGGCCTTGAGCTTGCACCATCGCTAGGTTACTTCACTAGTGATCGAAAAAACGTTGATCTCGATTAGAAACTAACGATCTGAATCGGGAATCCAAAGAGACCGACTTGGTTCCTAGCTGGAGTAAGGAACTGGCCCGATTTGGATATTTATGTCTGGATTTTTTTAGAACTTGACGAGTTTCTCGGGTGATCCAAAGTTGTTGAATCTCCCAATTATCACTCATTTTATTTCTATTATTTTTGAGTTCTTGTTTTTAATATAAAAATATTATTTACTTTTTTTATACTGATTCTCACACTCGAGAATTAGTTTGAGTCAATCCAAATTAGCTTGCTGAATCGGTTGGTATCTGATCTGGTACCCGATTTGGGATTATAACAATGTTTTCTACAAGGTAAGATCCTTATTTTTCTCATATTACCACCTGAATGTTATTACTAGATTTTCAAGAGCTTCTACCCAATGAGCCCCAAAAACAACTCGTGCTTTATAAAAAAGGGCAGAGAAAAAGTAAAGTAGGGGGACCAAAATGAGTGTACCACAATCCATTGGGAAAAACATACCAAACAAGGCCCGGAATGAGTCCATCTCTTTTTTCTCATCAAGTCCTCCTTTCCTTTGTGCCGCGTCGCCTTTTTACGTGACCTCCTTTTCCTTTATTTCTGCTCTTTCTTTCTTCTTCTTTTCCAATTCACAAAGATGAACGCTTTATTTTAAGATACCTCTCTCTCTCCCTCTCTTTGTCTCCCTCAATCATTCAAACTTTTTTGAGTGTTGCTTTTGTGGTGCAATTTTTGCTTGTTACTATTATTTGTCTCATTGCAGGTTACTATTATTTGTTTCATTAGACCCCAATTTATCATCATCGTCAAAACTTTTTTTCAGCTAATTAGTATCGGTTATACGAATCCTGATCTACCATTTTGCTTTACTAAAGGTCATACTCTCAGTGAAGTTCTATATCTCTATACTTTTTCGCATTATTTCCAACAATAACCTTTTAAGCCTACTTTTACCCTTTTTCTTTGCTTTTCACTTGAACTAACTCGCATCTCCTAACATGTGGGTCTGCACCACACATGTCTTACCTACTTAAGTCTATTTCTCGCATCTGAATGCCTATTTGGTGTCATACCTACATTCTCCTGAATATATCTTTTCCAAATTATATTTTTTCTTATCTCGTCACTCATCCACCTCAATATATTCATCTCAACTACATTCATTCTATGTGTTTGTTGCTTTTTAACTGTCCAATATTCCACCCTGTAAAATAAAGTTGGTCTCATAGTTGTCGTACAAAACTTGTCCTTCAGCTTTATTGGAATGCAGTGATCAAATAAAACTCTAGGTGCACATGTTCACTTCACCCACCCAGCTTAAACTCTACATGCGACATCTTCCTCAACTTCTCTATTTTTCAGAACTATCAACCCAAGATATTGAGTGTAGTAGAGATGGATGAGTGGTAAGACAAGAATGGATAGATTTTGAGATGATATATTCAAAAAAATTTAGGTGTGATACAAATAAGCGATAAGATAAGAGATATTAGACTTGATGGGTGGGCCATATGTGCCGCAAACCCAGTTTTCACACGTGTTAGGAGGTGCGAGTTAGCTCAAGTGAAATGCTCAAAAAGAGCAGAGGGTATGCCTAAAAGTACATAGTTGAAAGTATGAAAAAAGATATGGGGATTTATAGCCTCATTGAAGGTATGAGGCTTAATATAGCAGAATGGTGGACCATAATTTGTGTAGCCAATCCCAATTTGTTGGGAAAGGTCTTTGACGATAATGATAATTATGATGTTAAAATTATAAATGATTAGTGATAATACATACACCTAAACAGCTTTTATGCTTTATTTAATGAGAAAAAACGAAGTTTGTGCTTTATTTAAAGGGAAAGCAAAAGGGTTATGCTTATCAAACGTAAACTAAAGTGGAGCATAATGCGGCCTTGTCTATTTCTATTAATTAATAGGGAAAATGACGTCTACCCACTCCTCGAAATTAACATCTATATTAGCTCTTTGGGTTTACCAAAATTCCTTGTATCCCTTCAAGTGTAAAAACTTTGAAACCAATTATTTATTTATTTATTTATTTTTCATTTTTTTTGTAAATTTGATCTTTTGTTATACAAAATGCCAAACCCATCATTGCCCAAAACCAATGTTATATTTGTGGACCCACTCTACAAATTTATTACTATTGTTATTAATATATTGTTGTTGTTGTTGTTGTTGTTATCATCATCAATAAATTTGTACATCAAATCACAAAAAAATATAGACAATTAGCGTATGGGTTTGGCATTTTGAAAAATAAAAAGATCAAATTTGTAAAAAGAACAAAGAAAGTATAATTTGGGGGCTAAAGGTCCCAAAGTTTTAAAGTTGAGGGGGTACAAGGGATTTTGATGAATCCAATGAGCGAATAGGGATGGAAATATACATTGGGATCATGACGGTGATATTCTATCGTTTGCTTTAAGTGATTCAAGACAATGTGTTTTCTTTCGAAAGAAGTGAAAAGAAAAGGAATACATTAAAAATAAAAGAGAAAAAAAAGAGAGAAGTCGTCTGTAGGACCCTGGTTATACAAAGGAGGACTTCGAATATTGTCAAAAAATATATTATAAAAATAAATAAATTTCAAGTCCTTTAATGCTTTTCCTTATGCTTTTCTGACCATTCATTTATAGAGGTGCAAGATTGCTAATTTTGCACCATTTTAGGAGCTTCAAAATTTATAGAAGCAAAAAACATGTTCACATGCTATCATAAGAATTTGATATATAAAGGTGCGGCCATACCAATACTGCACCAAGATAAAAAAATGTTAGTGCATTTTTTCATGTCCGACTTCCACCACATTAGTTATAGCTCATGATTTGATTTGTGCCCAAAAGAAATTCTCAATTTTCTTAAATTATGGCTTCTTTATCAAAAAATAATTAAAGAAAAAGTAAGGATCCCACTTAACGCTATGCAGAAAAGTAGGGCCTTGGGTTACAGCTGCAGGAGTAAAGTTTATACGAGCTTATCCAAAGATATCATGAAGCCTTGTCCGGTGATTAATTTAAGAAGACATTAAGCTCTCGTGGGAGTATATTATATATTTACTCCCTCAGGTAAAATCCAATCAGTATTTTAGGGATTGCATTTTTAACAAAGTTACTAGTTTCCAACATAAAAGAATATTCATTCACTCTTCGTGATTTTGAAAAAAATAACATCCTAAAATTCAATGTCGACTGTCTAATTTTGGACAACCAGATCTAAGTGTTAAAGAATTTAAAATTCTTTTTCTTTTATGGGTAAATAATCATATGGTGTTCTAAAGAGAATCACAAAATTTTGGATTAAAAACTGTTCATAAATTACTTCTTCACCCGAGCAAGTAACAGTATGTTCCTATGAGAGCATAGTAAACGTACTATTGACATATATCTTCTAATATTCTTTGCTTTTGCTCCAAGTAAGAATACACTAGCTTCTTGTAATGCACAATTGTGTCTCACGGTGAAATAAATTTTGAATGAAATGAAAAGAAAAACAGAAAGTATTTTGTGGGGCCATAACTTTATAAAGGTGAAATTTAACTCGTCGAAAATGCTGTTTGGATGCTATAAAACAATGTAAATTGATCATCTCAAACTCGAAAAACATAGATACGAAGAAAGATGATTTCGAAGCCCATTTCTAGTATTTGCAAATCCACTATATTTGCACCATTAAAGTTTACAAAAAAAGGAAAAAATTACAAGCCATCAAAAGATTTTTTGTATTTGTTGTAGTTCTAATCTTAAGGTACAAGTTCACCATACTAGTTGTGGCTCATTATTTGATCTGTGCTACTTTACAAAAGTGAAAGGAGAAAATAAAGCAGCGACGAGTCCACTTGACCCTTCAAAGAATGGGAGGGCCGTCGCGTACTCTTGTAGGAGCATGCTGTACAACTGCACTTACTCCTTAAGGTAGATGACCATTTGTCATTTTTTTTATCTAATATTTTAGATTGCACTTTAGAATCATTCAATGAGCTATTTCAAAAACAAAATATTTGATCTCCTAAACACTAAGATCTGACATGCCAGTCTAAGCTCAATGCTTTCAAGTAAATATAGTTCTCTCATCATCTCTTTTTTTGTTTTTTTCTTGCGTTAATTTTTTTTGAGGTTGGTCACTAGGTTGATAGGTTATATCCCAAAATGCTCTAAGAAGTAAATAAACAATATGGTGCTCCGAAGGCATGTAATCTTTTGAAAACTTAGAAATGAAAATGTTATATAGGGAAAAGGATCCTCTTTTAAGGCCCCCGATAAGTACGTCCATCTTTATTTTATCATTAAGAACACCTTTCCTTTGTTCTTCTTTCCTGTGGTAGCCTTGTAACACTTTCATTTGAGTTTCTTGTGTTCACTATTTCTTCTTCCTACTTTCTCTCCTTCCAACTTCAGCAAACAAAAGCTTTGTTTTGAGATCCTGTAATCTTTCTACTCCTAAATCTTGCACACTTCTTGCATTTCTCTCTCTCTCTTTCTCACAAGATCAGCACCATCTTCCCCTCTCCGACTTAACATCAGCACCATCTCTCTCTGTCCATGGATTTCATAAGCCCCATTGTAGACATTGTCAGCAAATATGTAATCGATCCCCTTGTTTCGCAGATTGGTTATTTACTGCACCTCAAGAGAAATGTTGAAACTCTCGTGGGGGTCACAGAAATTCTAAAGGCTATGAGGGATGACAAGCAACATGATATTGATGCAGTGGAGAGGGACGGGCGAGTTCTCACTTATGCAGCGAGGAATTGGCTGGTGTAGCTGCAATATAAGAGGAGTACAGAAATGGAAAGACATGTCTGAGAGGTTAGTGTATAAATTGTTGGTCACGTTATAAACTGAGCAAGAAAGCGGTGAAACTCAAGGAAGAGGTCGATGAAAGGCATATCGCAGAATTCGAATCAACAAGAATACCTCCTCCGGAGAGCGTGAGAGATGGAAACCTCGACCATAGAAGACCAACCTAGTGTTCGAGATATGCTGCAGAAGGTACTTGATTGCATATGTGACCAACGTTATGGCATCATCGGAGTCTATAGAATGGGAGGTGTTGGGAAGACAACTTTGATGGCAAAAGTAAACAATAGCTTCAAATCAAATCCTTATTTTGACATTGTGATAATGGTTATTGTGTCTGCCTATCCGAATGTAACAAAGATAGAGAACAGGATAGGAGAGCGCTTGGGCTTGGATTTATCATCAGGTGATGAAGAGGCTGCAAGACACAAGTTGTTGGGTGCTTCGAAGAGGAAGAAGTATTTATTAATCTTGGATGACTTGTGGCAGGAGGATGAAATTGGAATCCCTCAACCCAAAAATGAAAGTGGGTGCAAGATTCTTGTGACCAGCCGTAATCAATATGTGTCCACTGAAATGGGGACTGAATTCACAATAGAAGTGAAGAAATTTTCAGTGTCGGAGTCTTGGAGCTTGTTTGTTGCCAAAGCCGGTCAGCATGTTATTTCCCCATCGATCAAACCCCATGCTAAAATTATCGTTCGAAAGTGTGAGGGCTTGCCGCTCGCCATCATCACTATTGCCCATGCTATGGCAAATCGAGACACAGTGAGGGAATGGGAGGATGCTATAAGAGAACTGAGACAGTCGGCTTCCAGCCTTCGCGGTATGAAGGACAAAGTATTTGATTCTTTAAAGTTTAGTTATGATAGACTAGAGAGTGATTTGCACAAGCTTTTTTTCCTTTTTTGTGCTTTATATCCTGAGGATTATTCAATAAGCCAGTATGAATTAGCAATTCATTGCCTTGGAGAAGGATTAGTAGATAGGCTAGGTAGTTTAAAAGCCACTCAGAATAAAGTTGCTGCCTTGGTAGGGAGTCTTAGAACCTCATGCATGCTCGAAAACGGAGAAGGAGAAGGAGAAGGAGAGGTGAGAATGCATGATATGATGCGCAAGCTAGCGCTGTGGATCACCTCTCTTGAGTCAAAAGACAACCTGAAATTCTTGGTGCGAGCCCGTGCTTCATTGAAGGAGGCACCAGAGGCTACTGAGTGGAAAGAAGTGGACATAATTTCACTTATGGGAAATGAACTAGAAGACCTCCCTAAATTGTCAGAGTGTTGCCCAAAACTCGTGACCCTGCTGCTTCATGAGAATTTTACCCTTAAGTCCATTCCCTCAAGTAGTTTCTTTGAATACATGGAATGCCTTCGTGTGCTCAATCTTAGTTACACAAGGATTGAATCTGTTAGTCTTGTCTGTCATCTTTAGTGAATCTCCGTGTACTGATATTAAGTTCTTGCCGCCCGCTAAGAGAGTTACCACCAATTGGAGGGTTCCAATAGCTCCAGCATTTGGATCTATCAAAGTGTCATCATTTACAGGAGATGCCTGAAGGGATGGGAGATTTAAGTAAGCTACGATACTTAAATTTAGGAAGAACGTGATTTAAAATTCCAGCTGGTGTATTTTCTCGTTTGCTTAAGCTAGAGGAGTTAGACATGTTTGGTGCTTGTAGTATATAGAATGGAGAGTGGATGATGATGAGGGGGAAGGAGATGGGAGTGGGTCTGAGGGAAAAGGCACCATTCATGACATAGGGGAGCTGACCCAATTGATCCATTTGAGCAGGCTTGGCATTAATCTGGAGAATATTACAATTTCCAACTGGTTCAAGCCTTTGGCTAGGAGTATGGAGTCTTTGGTCTTGAAAAATTGCAGGGTTAAAGATGTTGATGCCTTTGACTGCTTTGGACGAGTCTCAATGTCTACCCACATTATGCATCTTGCAGTGCCAGGGTGTGACTCGGGTACCAACTAGTGTTTCACATGCTCTCCAGATAGAAAGTTGTGAGGAATTGGAGTGTTTGGTGGTTGGAAAGGATGCCAAAGATGACGGTGACGGCGACCGCGATGGCGACGACCACTCCTTTCAAAGCTTGAGAGACTTGTGGCTTAAGTCTTTGCCTGGACTAGATGCGATATGTGTCGGTGTCCCACCACCACATTGCTTTGGTAACCTAAGGAATATAATTGCAATAGATTGAAGGTGGTGTTCACAAAGGGAATGGCACCACATCTCAGCAACTTGGTGGACATATCTGTCAGGGGCTGCGGAGTCCTGCAGAAGTTGATCGAAGAAGATGAAGATGATGGAAACAACAACAATGGTGGATCATTCTCATCGTCATCGTTATTGACTCTATCGAAGCTCAGAAATTTGGCCCTAAATTTTCTACCGCAGCTTAGCCATATATGCAGCAAAAGCGTGTTGCATTGGCCATTGATCGACAATGTGTGGGTAATGGCATGTCCGCAGTTAAAGAAGACACCACTTTGGGTGCGCAACGCGCGTGGTCTACTTTTCATTAGAGGAAAAGCCTTAGGACCAGCGTGGAGAGGCGAGGTTGTTGAGAGCTAGTAATCAATTATTTTTTGGGCGCTTTAGACCGTTAAATTTTATTTCCCTTTCTTTACTTCATAATTTGGTACAATTACCCTATTGAACTATGATCTGTATTTTTTTTATTTTTAAATTAATTAAAATAGGTATTTAAATTTTTATATTTTTTATTAATAAAAAAATAATAATTAACTCGTTTACTCAATGAGGTAGGCAGGGAAGATGAAAGGGATTTGATGCCCCAAGAAAAATCATCCTCTTGAGAGTGTGAGAGAGAGAAAGGTGACGATCCTCCTCCTTTTGCTCTTGTTGAAGGTATTTTACATGCAATACTATAATAAAGATCCTAATTTTAGGTAGGAAAAGTATTTTCCTCCTTTGGTGAACATGCGGAGCAAATAAAAAAAGTGATACTTTGTCTTGCTCACACTCTCCGGTATTGTAATATTTATAAAAAGGGAAAATCATGTAATAAGAAAGTTTTAGTTTTTGTACAAGGCAACAATCATTTACACTTGTCATATATGAAATTAGGGGCTGGGTTATACCACCATCTACGCTATTAGCCCAAAAAATACTTGTTGAATTTTGTGTTGTAGAAGGACATACCACTAGCAGCCCGATTTCATATTTGATGACTATGGATGATTTTGTAATTATCTTGTATCCAAGGTTGCAACACTCCTATACAACACATTAAGGGAAAACTCTCTATATTTCTCTTATCGTATATAAATTATATGCTTCCCCTTCCAGTCAGCTGTCCAATTTAGATCAAGTGAGCTACTAACCATTTGATTTAGATCCACCCTCTTAAAGTATTTCATTTTTAACTGTTTTCTAATATGAAAGTTGGCATGTGATATCATCTTAATAGGGTAGATCTAAAAACTATTAAAAATAAAATAAAATGACCAAAATACCGATGAATCTTTTAGGGGTATTTTGATTTTATTTTATCAAGAATACCTTCTTATGTTTTTTTAGGTGCGAGTTCAAGAGATGAGCGGACACGCAAAATTTGGTGTAAAATTTTTTTTATAGAAAAATAGAAATAAAATAGTATAGAGTCGTGACATTGCGATTGGATCATCTTAACCATTCATTTAGATAGGATGGATTGATAGGAGGAAGTAGATAACTTATAGACAATAGGGGAACTATAGAAAGCTTTCTCATATATTAATGGATACGGTTTCCATGAGTCCATATAGAAATGAGTCACCTCTTTAAAATCTATTTTAAAATGGATTTTAGACCTAATTTTTTAGGATGTGTAATCTCTAACATTTAGATCATGAATACGAAAAAATAAATAAAATTTGCAAAAATTAAAATAATAAATTTGAAAAGTAAAAATAATAATTCTATTAAAAAAACATTTGGATTGTTAGATGCAATTGTTTTTAGATTGACCACCTATTTGCATCCATATTTAAGATGGATGCTTTATAACTCGGGGACCTTAAATATAGAAATGCAGTACCCGCCGCATGAATGAACAATTTTCCTATATTAATAAAGGATCGTATAATTTGAGACCATCTATCTTTGTTATAAGGAGGTCATAATTACTCCTAACCATTAGATGTCAAATTGGATGACTTGGGGCATGTCACGAAGTTCGATATTTTTTTTATTTTTATTTTAACTTTGATTCTTGTAAGTGACAAGCTCATAGCCACCTGATTTAAAATCTGAAGGACAAAGACGAATGTGACCTCCTTATGCTATTAAAAATGATCTCTTTGTATACTTTTCCTATTAGTAAAGCATCGTATTTTCGGTAGTGTTGTATAAAAAGTTACCTAGTTTTCAATCTAAGCTCACTTGATCGTTGCTCTAAAAGTAATCGGATGCCGCTTCTTTGGTTTGCCTACAAATACTAAATTTCCCTTACTAGATATAATGTCAGAAATGAAACTCGTAGAATAATTCTAATATATGGGTTTATACCAATAGAAATGAAAGAAAAAATAAAGTAGTTATTCTCTATGCATTAGTACAGGACCAGCCACTTAATAGCACTTAAAGATTGCCCATTCCTAGACATTTTTAAGAAGTTCAATTGGGAATTTATAATCTACATTTCATTTCATATGTTGTTTCTTATTTGTTTGAGCTATTGACTAGGTGCCTAAGGGCCTTGAGCTTGCACTATAGCTATCTTTCCCCACTAGTGATTGAAAAAATGTTGATCCGTATTGGGCACTGCTGATCTTAGTCGAGAATCAAAGGGGGGCGACTTGGGTCCTAGTTGGAATTCGGAAGTCGTCAAAATTAGATAGATTTGTTTGATTTTATTAGGGAATCGGGTGATCTGCATTGGCTAAATCACCCAATTCTTACCCATTTTTTCTTTTTGTTTTTATTATTTTTCAATTTTTTCATTTTCAATTCAAAACATTATTTAAGTTGTTTTATACCGATTCCCAAACTGGAGAATTAGTCTGATCTTGCCCAAATCAGCATTCTGGATTGGTTAACGACTGATTTGGCGGCTCAATCTAGGTCGTAAGACAATGATCCCTACGTGCTTAACTAATTTTTTCTGGTATCACTGGCTTTTAAAAGCTTCTACCTAACGAGCCATGATTTGATTGTGAACTTCAGGACTCCCTCTCTCTCTTAATCTCTCGATCTCTTCCAAACTTGTTCGCATTTGAGTATTATTTGCGGGTTGTTACCATTAATTTCACTAATCACCCCAACTATCTATCCATTTTTCCCCAAAGAGTGAGTTGTCTTGATTATGTTTATTGAATTCATATAACCAAAGAAGTTTTTATGTTTTATTCAAAGGAAAACAAGAGGCTTATAGCCTTACACTTTAATCTCAAGGAAAGCAAAGTACCAGCACATGAGGAGGCCTTGTCTATTTCTATTAAATTAGTATAGCGTGGGACTTTAGCCTTCAGGTTAAGGGGTTATGCGCTGCCCTTTCATGCACCACATGTTTTCTTAAAAAAGAAAAGAAAAGAAAGAAAAAAAAAAAAAGAAAAGAAAAAAACAACTTTAAAAACATTAGTTGATAGGAGGAAAGTCACTCCACTCGTTAGGAACCTTAGAATTGTTGGATTTTGTGCTATCCAAAACTACTCGAAATCCAATATTATGTGGGATTGAGATAGATATTGATAAATTTTCTAAAGGAAATAAAAATCCCCTAAGATTTGCACTCTTGGATATATCTCTTTGTTTTTGAGATATATATATCAGATTGAATCTGGACCGATCCAATAATCACAATTGTATTTTGTAATTGAATTTTAATTTTTTTTTACAAATCCAAATTATGTGAAATTTGGAGCGTCTATTCTTCAATAATATTAAAATCTAATAAAAAATAAAAAAATAATTCGCATAAATTGAATTGGTCAATTTATTTTATGTGAATTATTTTTTTAATATGTTTATTAGGTGTACCTTGATGAGAATAGTTTATGTTCCAAATTTTATACTATTTGGATTTATATAAAAAATTTTAAAATTATATTACCGATATATACAGTCCTAACCGTCAGATCGGCCCAGATTTAATCTAGGCCATTGGGTTTATACTATTCCATGATTTAGTGGGTTCACTCTAGCATCTTCATATATATATATATATATATATATATAGAAGAGAGAG